GCTATCTAATAAAATCTTAGTAATATGGTTATCAATCCTATACACTTAAACATACACACATTTATCCATATCTTCATTAATGTTGAGATTAAACCAAAGCAGACTAAAATCACCTTGAACAAAGAATATCAGTATTGCTGGGTTTCACATTGTGACACTCCAGAATCAGCACTGGGTCCTACAGTGCCTTTTTTTCCTTCAAAGTATTTGCTCATTTCATCATGTGTCATAAGATCAGTTCTCATAAACTGTTTATAGGTTTTACACAAGTATGGGTCTTAACATGTATTTCTATCCTTTCTATATTAGAGGGAGGAACAGAACAAAGCAGGACAGAACAAAACATATTCCTATAGATACATAAAACTAAAAAGACATATAAGACTTCTGTGCAAGGAGTTCTACCATGGTTACTGAGTTGTCTCTTGTTATTATCAATAGAATTGGCTATATCATCAGATATAGTATAATTGCATATATCAGTACACAACAGTATTAATAGAAATACAACTTTGTAGGTAGCGTAGAACACAAAAACAGGTAGTAATCAAACCAGAATGGGTATCATAGTGAATCACTGTCATTTTCAGTATAGTTGTCTATATTCTCTGATTTGATAATATCAACCTTAACAATTTTGAATAAAATCTGTCAATAACAAACAGCAATCAAGCAGATCATATTTAACTAAGATCAATCATGATATAACAGTATAAGTTATACAGGGATCCAGATTAAGTTAATAGGAGATTAGAGATGATTGCTGTGCTATATCCTGATATTTTTGGGATAGCTGTCTGTGCCCTCAGATCTAGTGCTTGTATACAAACTGGGACGGAATTAATTCTATCTAAGCAGAGTGGTGCGAGTAATATGAGTTTTAATTCCTGATACACTATTAGCAATATCTTCAGAATCAGCGAGATGAGTTAAAATGCAGACACCTGGATTCTACTCACACTTAGGATCAGAATCTCTGTCTTATTCTTTTTTCTTTCTTTCTTTCTTTTTTTTTTTTTTGTCTTTTTCATTTTTATCGGTACCGAGGATCGAACTCACGACCGCCTGCTTGCAAGGCAGGTGCTTATGTCGCTGAGCTAAATCCCCAGCCCCATCTCTGTCTTTTTCAAAGACTATTCTTCCCCTTTCACTGCCCCAGGGTGTACTGTGCATTTTTGGGTCTCCCCAACACCCTCAGTTTTATATTGGGAGGGCAACCTGCTATTTACCTAAGAGTTTCTGAACTTTCTCACTCCGGGCTTGATCTCTAGTTGTAATTCTTTACCTATTAAAGCCTGTCTTCCCAACTTATCCAGTTGCCCTTATTACTCCCTGGTTCCCTATCACATAGAGTTCTAATTTCTCATATTGGATTTTCGGTCTATATTCCCCTCTTCAGGTTAATTATATTTCCTATTAAGAACATCTCAGTGGACCATACCTCTGGATCCACTCTGCCTGCGATTCTTTTTTTCCTTAATTTAGTGTATCTAGGCCATCTATATTAGAAATTATATCCAACCTTCTCCGCTTCATTTCGGTTGTGCTCTTTTTCCATCATTAGTTGTCTGTTTGTCTTCTTCATTTCACTTTTTGTACCGTTCATTGGGGCCTCAGCCACAGTTCCTGGAATCCTGGTGCTTTTCTCTCTTTAGAATGTCGGGCAATATTCTCCGTAGAATTGACTTCGTGGCTACATGTACCCAAGTTCCTTTTTATCTTGGAAGCATCTTGTTTCTTCATTAATTTCTAGGGACAATTTTTCAGGGTATATCAATCTGGGCTGGGGGCTGGGGATTTAGCTCAGCGGCATAAGCGCCTGCCTCGAAAGCAGGCAATCGTGGGTTCGATCCCTGGTATAGGTAAAAAAATGAAAAAGCAAATAAATAAATAAATAAATAAATAAATAAAAAATCTGGGCTGGAGGTTATTTTCTTTCAGGGCTTGGAATACTTTGCTCCATGCTCTTCTCGATTTGATGATTTGTGCCAAGAAGTCTACCATAATTCTAATGGGCTTTACCTTGTAAGTAATCTGTTTCTTGTCTCTGACAGCTTTAATATTCTGCTCTTATACTGGATTTCTGGGATCTTGATTATTATATGCCTGGGTGTAGTTCTGTTTTGGTTGTAGGTGACTGGAGTTCTGCATGCTTCATACATCTGAATCTCTTTTTCTTTTCCTATGTTTGGGAAGTTTTCCTTGATTATTTCTGTGAATAGTCTTTTGTAGTTCTTTTGTACCACTGCTGCTTCATTCACGTTCTTTATTCTTAAATTATAGATCCTCTTGTCGTCTTCTAGCATTTGTATTGTTACTGCTTGTTTCCTAGTTATTTTTAAGAAATTTTTCCTTTCATGATCCATTGCCAACCTGTCCTCCAGTTTGGATAATCTATCCTTAGTTTCTTTCAAGCAGTTTTGCCAGCCTTCAATGGAGTTTTTAATTTCCTGGTAATCTCTTTGAACTTGCTTCATGTATTCTATGTTTTCTCTATTTTCTTCATCAAACAATTCTCCCCTTTTTTTGGGTTCCTCCATTCTTCCATCTGTTTTTTTTCTTGAGAGGTGCTTAGCATTTCTTTTATTATTCTATTTATATCTTGCTTTACTTGGTTAAATACTTCACTTTTGAACTCGGCTATGAGGTCCTGAAGATATCGCTTCATGTCCACTGGTGTTGTGTCTGATATTGCATACTTTCTGTCCTCAATCTCCTTTGCATTTACCTTTCCTGGATCAATGTCCTCTGGATTGGGGGCTAGGGATCTTTTCTTGTTGCTTCCTCTTCTCATATTTTTTGTTCCTTCCATACAGGTATATATAGGATGTTCCAGTTTCTTTCTTTGTTGGTTACAGTTCATCTGAATTGCACTGACTAGGTACTCCCACCCACTGCAGTGTACTCGAAGTACATTTTAAACAAGCACATTTTTGAAACAGTAAAGTGCATTTCTTGTTCTCCATCCATCTTCTGTCATCTTTTGAATTTGCAACTTCTCATAGATCTTTAAAAACAAAATGAAACAAAACAAAACAAAACCACATGCATAAGATAATGGAGATGGTATGAAGGATACAGGGCTGAGGGTTGCTTGTTCACACATGCTGGACCTCTTGTGGCCAGGTGGACATGAAAGGTTAAATATCCAGCTAGAAGAGAACACTAAATTGTTTGAGCAAATGATTATTAATCCTGCCCCAAAGAAAATCCTGCTTGCTTATCACATCTTGGGAAAAACAAACACCTAGCCCTCAACATACACTAGTCCTTCTCCTACCAAAAATGTTCTCTTAAAATAACAAGCAGCTTCACAACTTTGTTCTTTTCAAACTCTGCTCCTCAGATCATCATCAGAATCAGCCAGATGAGTTAAAATGCAGACACCTGGATTCTACTCACACTCAGGATCAGAATCTCTGAGCTAGGGAACCTGATATGGGTAACATCCCAGGGATACTTATGCATTTTGAAGTTCAAGGTCTACTGTATTAAGGGCTGCAAACCCCAGTTCGGCCTCCAGACTCCAAAGGCAAAGTTTCTTTACAACTGGCAGGAACTTTGTAGTAACTAGTATTATCCTGGGTCCAGTGCATTTCCATGGGAGAGTTCATTGCAAGATGTATAACAATGTAAAAAAGGAGGCCCTAAACCCTGTTCAAATTAAGTGCTAGGGTATGGTTAGCCTTTCACATTACTTATTATGATTTGTATCTAAATGTACCATGCCCCCCAAACCTCATACTCTCATAGGCAGGGCTTTGCTGAGGTGGCTGGATCATGGGTGTTGGAATACAGTTGGTTGGGTGGTAACTGGATTAGTTCTTTGATTGGTTTACTGTAGTTCTGGGTATAACTGGAAGCCCCACCTGGGTGTGGGTGGCATGAACCAACAGGCTTGTAGTCTGAATGAAATATAAAGGGAGAGATGGAAGGCAGGTTTGCTGCATCCTGCCCTGCCCTGGAGACTGCTGATTTATGGACTGAAACTTCTACAAATTGTGAGCTAAAATAAACCTTTCCTCCTTTAACTTTGGGTGTTTGGTATTTTATCTCAGCAATGAGAAAGTAGCCAAGACACTACTCTTTGGAGTGCTTTATAGATAAACATTAAAAAAAAAAAACACTTAAGGTCAGAAGATGTGGTTTTTCCTGGTCTCAACTTGGTGTGATGCTTAACAAAAATCAAATTACACAGTTTTGGACACACGAGTAATTTACTGTTTAGGATTTAAAGTCTGATAAAGAAGCATGAAATGCCTAGATCATTTGAAAATAGTGGACAAAAACTCATGCTCAGGCAGGTGAGTGTTGAAATACAGCAACATGAGGTTGGTAGTTGTAATCAGTCTTGGTCCACCCTCTCCCAGCCTGGTAAGTGAGGTCACCTGATTGTCACTCATTCCTCTGGACAGTTGTCTGAGTTTGGGCATGTGATTTCCATTGTCTTGCACTTTGGATTTGGATTCCTGTAATGTCAAGCAGCAGGGGATAACAGAATTAGGGACTAAATCAGGCTAAGTGGAGGACTGAGACTGACCTAAGTGTAAAGGGACTTCGCTGTCAGCACGCTAGCTATTTCCTGGCGGGACTGCTAACTCCATGCCCACATAACCCTGTGCCCGCACTCCCAGAGTCCCAGCCCACTTGCAGCTAGGTACTAATTTTTCTTCTTCACTGAGTATGTGAACTTCTATTTGGTGACTCCTGGGTCTGGTAGATGTGACTGTCAAAGTTTAATCATTTCCAGTGACATAATGTAAGACCAAGCAGAGAAAACCAATCCACTGGTCAAACTAATGTTTGCAAAGCATGTAGGTTCTTCATAAATGGAGCTGCATTTCCTGCCTTTCCGAACACTCAGAGAGAACGCCAGGCGTAAAAAGCCTTAGACAAGAAATCAGTGTTATGGACCCAGTTCCCTAGCATCCTGATGACCCTTGAGAGTTTCCGGCCTATGTGCTGCTTGAATAATTGGAATCTGTGTTTCCCATTTGCAGGAAACTCTGGCATCACAAAACACAAAAATGATTTCATCTATAGTCATTTCGCAACTGATTGATGAAAACAGATCAAAAGAAAATGCGACTGCGTTGCCACTGCCCTGTGCCATGGCTCAGCCTCGAGCCTGTCCCACAAAGCCTGCTTCAGCTCACCTCAGCCGCGTCAACATCCACAGGGCATTTGCATTACTTCCGGACAGACTAGGAATCCCTACGCAGTCAGATGGAGGAGGACCACAGATAGATTTGCTGCCTTCAGGGCAGAGCGCATGTGGCCATCCCCGCCAAGGATTTGCGTCCATCACCATCACGGCGCGGCGCGTGGGCCCCTCGGCTGGCGCCCTGGTGTGGGGCACTATGGGGGACTCTTTGTGCCCCAAGTGTGGGGCCGAGGATGCTGCGAGCAGGAGTCCCTCAGCCTGGACTGGTGGTCCCCAATCACATCCACACTGTGGACCTCTCACCTGCACAGAGTTCTCCAGGAAAGGTTCTGAGGTGAGGGTGAAGACCCCCGAGGCTCACGTGCGGAGGTGTGCAGGTCACGAGTACTGGGTCACACACGTGGACAGCAAAGACAGCAATTTTTCTCCAGACACCCCACCTTCCGGAAAGGACCCGCTGGTGTTTACTTCCTGTGTCCGCCTCCGTGTGTCTCGGCAGTGTCCCAATTCGTTCTACTACTTGAATAAGTCTCTTTCTGTCCCAGGGGAGCAACCTCAAGTTGTCAGTCCCCAAATGCACAGATCAGTCCTATCTCTCAACCTCAGTTGTAGTTCCCACGGTCTAACAGCAGATGGAGTAGATGGCATAGCTAACGGAGAGCCAATAAGCAGAGCCCTGAAGCAGGAGCTCATCCAGGGAAGCCAGCACCTCCTAGGCTCGCCCTGGAATCCAGCTTTGCCGGAAAGTCACTCGAAGGAAAATCCTTCATTGGGTCCTGGACGTTTGGGGACTGGCACATGTCCTTGGAGTGACTGTCCTTTACTGGAAAATACTGAAATTGCAGATGTGGAAACTAACCAGGTTCCTGTCAGGAAAGGAAAAGACCACCATGCAACTTGTCCTGCCAGCGGTCATGACAACCAACTGTCCATTCACATTCCTGGCTGGAGTTACAGAGCGGGTGAGTGATGCTTCCATTTGCAGGAAGGCCGTTATATAAATGCCCAGCTACCAGACAAATGAAGTTTCTTTTACATAACCTATTCCAAGAGACATTTCCAAGAGTTGCTTTGATCTCTTTGACTTGAAGTTGACAACTGATAGCTCAGTGTTGATGTCTGATTGGATAGATTTCCTAAATGAACTCTTGTAGACTATGAGAGAACTTCTCTCAAATTCTTGCAGCAGTTGTGCCAGGCCTTATGAAATGAGTAGAAAGTGGTTCCCCTCACACACAAAAGCTAATTTAGGCCTTGCCCACATCACCTTCCAAAGTAGGGCAGTAAGTCTCCACATACCCTCCACAGCCAGATGTTGTCTTTCTTTTGTCAAACATCTGTATATTTGGGTGTGTCCATAATTCTTCTAACTTTTCAGTGATTGGGCTGATATTTATGAGCTAGCCTAGCTGGCTTCATAAATATAAAAATCTAGACCACAATGCTTCATAATGAAGTGTACATGTGTGAATGTTTGTGTGTACAGTAACTATAGGGCATTCTCTAAATGAGGAAGTTGGACATTCCATGCCAAATGGTAGCTAAAGTAATTTTTGGTCCTATGTTATATCTCTGGGGGGTCTGCACTTGACCTGGATTTGTTGCTACTTCTGCCATTTCCAAGGCAGGCAAAAGTCCCAAGGTAGGTTGCCCAGAGACCCTTCATTTTTTTTTTAGATCAGTTTTGGAGAAAAAGCAGCCAGATTTCTTTCTTTCCTGTGTAAACTTCTGATTTTTCAGTTCTACAGTATGTGAGAGAATGGCTTATAAATTAGTGACTTTCCACTTAGGAAAATATTTAAAGATAATAGTAGTAAAATTGAAAATGCAGCATATGCATAGTAATTTTATGGTGCAGTTTTTGTCCATTAAAGCTTTATTAATTAATAAAACGACTGTAAAACATTTAAGAATATAATGTGCATAGAAGTGTTAAATGATGTAATTAATTTTAACAACTGTATACGTGTTGGATGCTGAGAAATTTTTAAAGCAATTTTGACATGGCTTTCAGATTGGTTAAACCACTGAATGCATTTGAGTGTTACAGACTTCACTGCAAGAGAAAAAATGCAAGCAGCAGTCATCCATGTTCCAAAGATAAACCCCACTTTAGTATTTAAAGAAACTGTTCAAGCCAGGTGCTTCATCATCCTTATTGATGAAGATTCCAGAAATAGACAACCTGCACTGTCGTGTGCTCCCCAGTGAAAGCATATCTTTGTCTTTATACTGTTTCTTGATGTGAAATAATAATTTAAATTTATAACACTTTTCACCAAAGGATCTTTAAAAATATCTCAGGTCAGATTTCAAACATTTATCTCAAAGCAGAGGAGCAAAAGCAGTGAAAATTGCCCAACTTATTTGTGGCTTTAGTGCAGAGATTTTTGATTATGTCTCTGTGAAATGGCTATTCTTGTAGGGGATTTTCTTAGGCAAATAGTGTAAGTTAAATCTACTTTCCGCCAACCAACATCTCTCAGAATAACCATATATCTCAAAGATTCACATCTGGAGTACTAAGTGGCTCTAAACCACATAGCTTCATTCTACCATTTGAGGAAAGAGTCACAGAAACCAGGCGAGCCTTTAACACTTTTTTTTAAGAGTTGCCAATCTCATATTTTCTAGCTCAGTGAATGTGAACAAGTGACACAACTGAGATTATTTTCTCCTCTGGTACCAACAGCAGGAGATGAATGCGTACTCTTGAAGATCTTCTCCATTTGGCATCTTAAGCAATTTCTATTCTGTCCACCCAAGGTGTAATCTTCAAGGGGAAGAGGCTCTGTGGGACTCTGGACTTCTCCATTTTAATATCAAAGGCCATAGAGATTGGGCCACCAATTAGGGCTCATATGCGTAGTACATACCAATACACACAACACACACACACACACACACACACACACACACACACACACACACACACTGGGTTTGAGTGTACTCTCACTCAGAAATTAATTTCCAGGAAACTGTATTTTATCTTGGGTGATAAAAAAAGCACTTCTGTCCATGTCACAGAATCTTTACCTAAAATTTATAAGCATAGTTCATTGGCTCTAATGACCACAATGTCCTAGGGCAATCTGCACGTTTTAAGGGTGAGCTTACTGACCTTCAGTTTTGACAGAGCTTTTTAGACTTGATGCAAGTGCTTTTAGACCGTGGCAGTGCTCATTAAAACTCCGTGGAACTGTTTGTATTTTCCTGACTGAAACCGGAATCATATCTGAGGTATCCTTGACAGCCTCCTGTGGCTACACATGCTATTAGTGGTCTTCATGCTTCATAGTTACTGCATCTGATTGTTTTTATTTAAAGGATTCCAAAATACATCCTGAGCAGGATCCTCTCTAGGCTAACTTTACTAACAGCTGCCTGGAAGGTTCTACAAACTGATGTTAAGCAATTTTAGTTCTAATTCTTAGGTCATTGAACAGAAAGTCCTATAAATTATATTCTTATTGAGCCTCTAGGACATAAACCCAGAACGATTACCAAGAACAGGGTTAAGGGGAAATACTTCATTCAGTACAGACAGTCTCTGTCTACTGAAACATTGCTTACCAGAAGGCACATGGGTACCTGTTTTCCTTTGGTGCTGCAGGAATGAGAGTTGATTCTTTTTTTGCATATCTCTTTGGTCCTTGATATCTTACCATTACTTTTGTAAGCATCCTGTTGGTACCATGCAGGTGAGCATTGTACAAATAGTTTTACATAATAAAAAATTCATTAACATTGTCACTTTCATCTTTGTTATCATTACATTATCTATAACCACAAACTATATTACAAAACTCCTAGGGGTTATATCCAAACCATTCTGTAAAGGAATGTCATTATTCCTATTTTGCAGGCAAGACAAGTGAGGCCTGAAAACTAAATAGTTTGCCCAAGTCTATATGGCTGGATAAGTGCTAGAACTGTGCAGTTCAATTTTAATAGCTCAGAAGTCCTTCCCAGGTTGAAACGTAGTTCTTTGTGTTGCTCTATGATAGACACACATATCAGTTCAAATGGTTCTGACCTCACTGGTTGTGCATGCCTGAAACATTATTAATATACACACATTTCTTATTGGCCATTTTATTTTTCATCCATTCCTATCTCTGAAGGTCTCTCCCTTCCTGAGATACCTAAGAAAATGGGAGTAAAATCTTCTGTTAGCTGTTATTGGAGAAGAGATTTAAGAAAATTCTGTTCACCCCCATCTGTGCCAGTATTGATGCTCTGTAGTGAACCCTCTATGTTGGAATGCCTTTGGTCAGTGCAGTGCATAGGTTTTGGTGATATTAGTCTGAGAAGTCCCCAGTGAGATTTGGAAATGCTAATAAGCACAGGTGTGAATGACAGAAAATAAAGAACTCTCAATATATCACCAAATGGGTCTGTGGTTGATAGTGTCTAATATATTAATAGTGAGCAAGCTTTATTTCACTTTTATTTCTTAAGGGAAGATAACAGAATGTTATGGTTTTTTGTCCTTTTTTTTCTCAAAGCTCATATGTTAAAAACTTGGTTCACAGCTGATGATACTAGGAGATGGGTGTCGTTGAAGGAAGCAGATCACTGGGGCGTGACTTTAAAGGGTATATTTTATCCTGTCCCTCCCCTCTCTCCTGGCTGCCATCAGGTTTGTAGCTTTTCTTCACTACATCCTTCCAGCACAATGTTTCTGCCTTGTCACAGACCTAAAAGCAACATGGCCAGGGAACCATGGACTGAAACCTCTGAACTGATGGACCAAAATATATCTTTCCTCATTTAAGTTTGTTTTGAACTGTTTCATCACAGGAATGAAAAGCTGATTAATACACATACACTGCACACACTTGTCACTATCTGTGAAGGAGGATTCTGTATCACTCACATTAGAGTCAGCTCTTCTGTCCCAGGAAGTCTTCTTTTCTGAAGGGGTCAGAAGATATTTGAGAAAGTCTTATTTTACAAATGTAATCTTTCCTGAATGATCTAAAACCAAGATGAGCAACATTTCCTTTCTTGTCTTGTCTTGTCTTGTCTTGTCTTGTCTTGTCTTGTCTTGTCTTGTCTTGTCAAGGATCAAATAAGAAATATGTTAGGTTATACAAGCCATCAGGCTATATGATTTCTATGGCAACTACTCAACTCTGCTGGTTAGTCAAAAGCAGCCATAGTCAGTGCATAAATGCATGAGGATAACATTGCTAAGAAAACTTTATTTGCAAAAACAAGCTGAGGGCCCACTTTGGCCCGTGGGCTGTAACTTACTGACTCCTGCTCTACAATTCAAATAAATCCATCTTCCAAGGTAAACTTCACCTGGTTTGCTGGGTTCCCTGGAAGTCAGACTTTGAAATGAGGACCAACAGGCAATGCATTTCTCAGGAGTGTTCTTCCTGTGGATGGGAAGGAAACAGGACTGGGCAGAGGACTGGTTCTCTGTCACAGAGGCTGTCAGGCAAGCTAGTTTTTCAGAATGCGTAGATGTGAAGACTGTTGCTTGCATCAAAGGTAGGAACTGTTTTATTGTGGACCTCCTGACCTCCTGATCGCCTGTTTACTCAGGGTCCTTCAAACCTCTTCTGGCTAATGTCTTCTGGTTCTCTCTTGTTCTTTTCCTCTTTTCAGATGCCCTTATGATTAAGCCTTGGCCTCTTGGCTTCTTATTTTTTTCCCTTTCACTAACAAGTTCAGTCTCTTGTGTGCCACTCACTATTGTTGGTAAGAGGGTAGGGTCCATGTCCAGCGCTGGAACCTCCTGCTAGTGCCAGACTAGAGTCCTACCTGGACAACTTTTCCTCGCTCATCTGATGTTTACCATATCAGCTGTGGTAGCTTGTCTATAGTCCACAATGCTGAGACAAAGCTCAGATGTCTGCATAGCCATGCAGGTTATAGCCTTTTAATGTGATTATTTGCTTTCTTATGAGACCAATTCTCTGTGTCTAAACAATGTATTTCTAAAGGTCAA